ATGACCACTGGGGGACCAGCCCCCTTGGACTTGCTCTCAGAAGTACATGAGGCCTTGCCTTCAGGCAAAGTTTGATTTTTTGATTTGGGGAAACGGTTAAATCATCTGGTGCTAAATCAAACACAGTGAGCGGTCCAGCTGCCAGATGGACATGGTCAAAGGCTGGTCTGGCCACTAATTGATGGGATTGGTCTCTGCGTGAGCTGTTAAAGCAACTGGGAGGCTGTTGTGGAAGAAATATCTGAGATGATGGTGGAGCAGTGGTGATGAGTAGAGGAAAGAAGATGAACTCAGATGAACTCAGTCAGAAGCCTGGACCTACTGCCTACAAGATGCAAGACTCTGGGAAACCATAATTTCCCCATTTCAATAATGGGGATAACAACATCAACCTCTCTGCAGTATCATATAATGAATTAGAAATACAACCATTTAAGGGCGGCATCTGTGACTCAAAAGGGTAGGGCGCCAGCCCCGTACACCAGAGGTGGCGGGTTCAAACCCAGCCCTGGCCAAAAAAAAAAAAAAGAAAAGAGGAAAAAAAGAACTACATGCATTTAAATATCTATCACATGTTGCTACTAAAGATGTGTAATTATTGATTAAAAATTATTAGCAGTGACATCATTGAAATGAAGCATATATCTTCCAAAAGGGTTATTCTCAAAACTACCATGTACTTAGTTAAAACAGTCACTCATTCTTGACTCAATACATATATTGAGAACTTATTTCCTGTCTAGTCCTGTTTTAGGGTAGGATATAATAAACACAACTTGCATGAAACTAACAAATCCCCTGTCCTCCTATACATAATATAAATGTCAACCAGTGATATAAAGAAAAATAAAGTAAAATAAGGAGGGTAGAGAGTGATGTCGGGAGACCTACCAGTTTACTCAGAGTGGTCAGGGAAGGTCTCTCTGGGCACGTGGAGCTTGGGAAAATTGAGGAATAAACAGATATAAATAAACCACATAGACCTCTGGGAGAAGAAGGTTCCTGGTCAAGAGAAAAGCTTTGAATATGTTGATCTGTAATGAATGAATGGATGGATGGGAAAATGGAGAGCCAGAGACAATGGTAGCAGGAAGGGGATCCCAGTGTACGAACATATACCTCTCTGCATGGGGTGTTTCTGAGCCCAGGTAGCCTCTAGGATTCTACCTGCCAGGACACACCACCTCTGCTGCCTCAAAAGCAATGAATTATCGGGAAGGCTGCTACTCAATCTTATCAGTATTTTCTTCTAAAACAGAACCCTGGACATTACAATTCTCATTTTTAGAAATTTCACACTTCTCTGTCTGGAGAACCAAAATCCCACATGTCAAAAGCCCCAACAGCTTTCCTAGTATTTCTAATGTGCTTCTCCATGTGTGTAGGGGTCAAGGCTTGGGAGAGGTATTCCCTTTACACGGTCATCCAGTTATAGAGGCGAGGAAAAAAGATCCCACCCAGAGAGCAAGGCGCTTTCCCAGAAAGTGAAAGGGGTATTGGAAAAAAGAAGAACACATGCTATGACCACAACCAAGGAAACCCCAGGACAGCAAGGTGGGGCCTGTACTGAAGGCAAAAGTAACTGTTATCTCCACATTCATTACTATTTAGAAAACTAAGACTCTGCACGGAGCCTCTGCCTGAGAATCAGGAATGAAGGTCTGGTCCTTAGGCAATCACCTCCCCTCTCTAATCACGGGTTTCCCCATTTACGCACCAGAAGGTTATATACAGTGTGGGATAGATGTTAAGGTCAGACTGATCTAGGTCTACATCCTAGCTTCACCTCTTACTAGAATTTGGAAGGGGCACGTCCCTCAACTTCCCTGAGCCTCAGTTGTAAAGTGAAGAGGATGGTACTTACTCTGTAGAGTCACTGTGAGGGTGAGAGACGGGGCTGGGGGCCTGGAGTGGCAGAGCCTGGCATGGTGGCATGAGCACTAATTATATGCAAAGAAAGTAGCTGTGGACCCTGGCGCATCCCACACCTCAGGGGTCTACTGATACACCACGAAGGACCAGCACAGAATTACCCAGGAGCATGTGTAAAATTGCCCGCATTAGAACCCAGAGAGTAAAATCCATAGCGATAATGACCATAATCATAGCAGCAAACCTTTATATTATGTAATACTTAGGTGCAAGAGTTCTATATGCTTACATTAACGCATTTAATCTTCATAGTGATTGGCATAAATCAATCTGCACTTTATAGGTAAGAAAACAGTTGCACAAAGAGCTTAATTAACTCACCAAAGACCGCAGGTAGGCAGTGGCAATGCTGGGGCTCAAATCCAGGCAGGTCAGTTTCAAAGTTTATGCTTAAAACCACTGTACTCCGCTGTATTTTGATGATGACATTTGTACCACATCTCATCATCTGTAAAGCTCTTTCTGCTGGATTCTCTCCTTTGATCCTTCCAGCAACTCTACAAAGAAAACTGAGCAAAAGGTGTTGCTCCAGGGTCACAGAAAAGGTAACTGAGAACCTGAGTGTGTGCAGTCTCTCGCCCAATATCAGTCTCTCCGGGAAGGAAGAGCAGAGTGGAGATTTTAAAACAGTTCCATCTGAAACATGTCACCAAAGTCTTCCTTTTCCGCTGAGCCACACAGATCTCCCAGAGGTCCAGCTCTTCAGTCACGAACCCCTTTGGAGGACTTAAATTATCCCCTGACCGTGGTGCAAATCCCCATGTGAATCAGAAACACCTGGCAGGCTTGTTAAACTAAGATTCCAGGGCCCTACCCCACCACGATAGCTTCTGATACACTGAGTCTGGGGTGGGGTTTGAGGGTCTCCTGGTTTGGAGACAACACTTGGAAAACCATCACCCCGTGTCAAATGATTATCCACATGCACTCAGGGAAATGCCTGTTTGGGAGTTTTGGTTATGGTCAGGGTTACACAGGGGCAGGAGCAACACTTCCAAGCAGAGGAGTCAGCCCAGGTGGTAGCAGGGAGAATGTTTGCTTTGCAGGCATCTTCAGCCTGGGGAGGTGGGGGTGGGGCACAGATGAATGGGGAGGTGGAACCAGGTGGATCCAGGCCTGACTTTGGCAAACGGCTTTGTGCAGACTCCTTTCAAATTGCCACCTCCTGTACCAACCCAGCCATTTCTCAGCACGAGAGCAGAGAGCTGGTGGGACATGCTAATGAGGAGAGATGCGGCTGTCGTGGAAAGTACAGCAGTATTATCCTAATGGCCCTGCAATCAAACACCCTCATCAGAGCCGCCTGTGAACTGAAAAGGAGGAAGGAGAGAAGTTCTGGGCATGACCCCAAGCCCGGATCACGTGTTCACTGATGCCGGAGACTAACACAGGTGGGTGCAGCCTTCAGGAATGAGCTCACTTCTGACATTTTCACCTGTACAGAAGGAGATGGCCTCAGGGGGCTGAAGGTGCCTCTAGCTCTGCTCCAGAAGACAATCCCTGTGCTCAAGGAACTTGGCATCTGGCTTGGAGCTGCAGCCCACACTTCAAAGAGCTGATTGTTTTGCCCAGAGACTCCGTGCTCGGGGCTGCTGTTCTAGCCTGAAGGCATTGTGGGGGCTCACTACTTCCAAAGCTCCAGGGCCAGGTGGGATTTGGGAAAGCCTGGAGCATCTTCCCAATTCCACCTGATCTCATTCTTTGAAATAATGGCTGAACGGTAGCATCAGGGCTCTAGACAGTGAGGTCACGGAATAGCTATTAGCAAGAAGTGTGGTGCCAGATGATCAATATAGTTTCGGCTCTCCCTATGCAAACTACCTCTGCTGGGCTTTTCTTTTTCCTTTTTTTTTTTTTTTCTTTTTTAAAGAAAGCTGTAGAACCAACTGGACATGTTGAAAAAATAATGCTTTCCTGGTACTCTGGGTGGCGGCAGCTGTGTTCTCCCCCTCCTGCTGGCTCTGAGTGCCTGCAGTTCACAGCAGCTGGTGAGCTCCAGAAACACAAGCTAGTGAGGCCCCAGGCCCCTCTCCTCATTGACTGGGGGCACCTGCCTCGCCTCATCATTTACAGGTTGAGGGAAATCAGAAGATAGCGCCTCTGGTTTCATCCTTATGCAGAGGTGGGGGGCTCTGTTCTACTCTGTAAATATCATGGAGTCTGCTCATGGAGAAAAAGGTGACAAGCCTGGGCCACTAGGATGTGCTTCTGCTGCTCCCAGAGCCTGGAAAGAACCAGTCCCTGCCTCTCTACTGGCAGCCTGAGAATGCCCAGGGCTTCCCCTACCCCAGGTTAGCATAATCATGAGAAAGAATTTGAAGAAAAGGCAATGAAAATAAAAACTCTGTGTGTCTCATACAGGACTGCCTAACTCTAGAAGCTACAGCTGCCCTTGGCTGTAACTCCTACCTGAACTCTCCCCTGAGGGCTGCCCCAGCGCACCTGTTCCCATCTAGGAAGAAACTCTGACTCCTTTGCCCTTAGGCACACCAGACCCCTTGCATGTCCTCTCCAGGCCTCCTCTCTAGAACCCCCCCAACTTATCCCTCAGGCCTTGCAAAGTGCTCCTCCTGTTCCAGATCATTAGGTCTGAATTAACTGTCCCTTGGCCCACACTTCCTGCCTCTGCCATCAGCCCCAGGCACAGGGCATGGTTGTGTGTTTCACCAGACTTTGAGGCCAGTTGGCGTCCACCCGGGATTTTTGCCCTTTCCCACTGAGCACAGCTCACACTGGCCACATGGCAGATGGGCAGTAATGCCCGCTGACTTTGTTTCATTAATGACAGTCTTCTCCGGGAGACCAAAGTACCTGTAGGCTCTACCTGCCTGTTCTCCTACAAGATTAATATGGCAGAGAAGTTCCTCACACACAGCCCATCTCTCCATCCACCCATCCATTCGCCTTCCCACCCATTCATCCATGTATCTGTCCAGCCATCCACTCACCCCCCATCCATCCACCCCCCCATCCTTCCACCCAACTACCTGAAAGGTATAAGCAGTGGTGCCCAGAGATAAGAACACAGTGGAGATGTTCAGGCCACGTTTATTTAAAAGGGAGGTTGATCCCCCCCCCCTCCCCGGGCAGTGCAAAGATGGAGTCCGCACTCAGGAGCAGTTAGAGGCCACTTTTATCTGGGGCCATGGCAGGTGGAAAAATTCCACAGCTTGCCTGGAAAGTTAGGGTCCTCTGATGCAAACTTCTGGGGGTGAGGCTGACCATCTTGGTGTCTTTGTCTTAGGAAGCGAGGAAGAAGAGAAGGGAAAAGGGTTCCTGTGTGGCTGGGTTAGGCCCCGCAACACTGCCCATCTGTCTATTCACCCATCCATTCACCCCTCAGCCTTCATCCTCACCCTCCGCAGCCCCTGGATCCAGAGGAGAAACACAAGGGGATCGCTCCCCTACCCCCACCTTTGGGTGTCCTCCTAGGTCTCCTCCCTGCAGCATCAGAGCAAGGTGGGTTAATAAAGGACTCAGATCCACATGGTTCTGTTTATAGCACAGGCAGACAGCTTGTGCCTCTTCTTTCTTGCCGGAGAGACCGGATGTTCTGGCGAAATTACCCAGAAGAGACTGCTTTGCCACTTTTCAAGGAAGTTCTTGTGTCATTGAGAGGCTGTCTGCATACCTGCTCGGCTTCTTCCCCCTCTAACCTACTTGCTCTCCCAGAAGCAGTGACAGCTCTTTACGGTGGGGGCTGCTGTTGCTCCCTGCTCCCCACTGCTGGTGCCCAGTCAGGAAGGGTGACCAGTACTTCCTCTCAGACCTGCTGGAGCTTCCTCTCAGCACACTCATCCCAGGGAGGCCTAGGAGTCCTGCCGGATGGGCCTGCCTGCTCCTTCCCAGCTGGGGTGGGTTCTCTGGGGTCAGCACTCAGAGCCTGGGCATAGGGGAGATGCTGTTAGCACCTGCATGCTCTCTGACCTCCAGCAAGGGCAGGGGTTGCTGGTAGAGTCTGTAGGACCAGAGTCAAATCTATGAAATAATCCCAAAACATCCCTACTGATGGGCCTGTGCAAGAATGTGCACTCTGTAGCTGATGGTCCCCCATCTTTGCAGAGACAGACTGGAAAACTATCTCTAACAAAGGGCTGGAGAGGCAGCCAATTAAAACACCCTCCCCTACAAGGATCACGGAAAAGCAACTTAACCTGTTCTCCATATTCTGGGTGTACTGAACTCCATATTACCAGGTTCCCCCAAGTTTTATGGGAGGCTGTTTCCGGCAGAGATGAGGAGAGCTCACCCAGGAGAGGAAGGTGCTGGAAGCCCATGCTCGGCTGCGGACAGGTGGGCAGGATTGCAACAGGACACACAGGCCTGGCTGGTGAGGCTGGGAGGGTCCTGTCACTGCTCCCCCTGTTTCCAGGAGTCCCAGCCTGGCTGGCCCCAGAATTCTAGCCCAACTACAGGGGTTTCCCTCCACCCAGTGAGGAAGAGGGCTATTCTGCCCAGACTGAAGTTGATTCTTCCACGAATAAACTTTAGGGAAGTGGGAACCATAAAGGGCTTCTGTAACTCAGGGCAGCAGCCAGAATCAATTGAGTTATCACAGAGAGAGGCTGAAAGGGAGAGAGAGATGTGCTCACCTTCTTACATTTTAGAGAATGTGGCTGGAGACATTTCATAAAACTCCAGGAAGCCCTGTGGTAATTCCTTCTCTTTTCAAGCCTCGGAGGGCCTTTGTCAACGCTCAACATCACTGATGGACAAGGAAATGCAAATGAAAGTCACAATGAGACGTGCCTCACACCTGTTAGAATGGCTATTATCAAAAGGAAGAAAGATCAGTGTGATGCGGAGGAAAGGGAGCCCTTGTGCCCTGTTGGTGGGAATGTAAATTAGTACAGCCATTATGGAAAACAGCATGACATTCCTCAGAAAGCTGAAAATACGGCTACCATATGAGCCAGCCCTTCAGAGCGGGCAGGGGATCGTTCCCAGGACCTCCTGCATATACCAAAACCGACAGATCCTCAAGTCCCTTACATAAAATGGCATAGTACTACACGTAACACACCTCCTCTCCTGTACTTTAAGTCAGGTGTCCTCAAACTATGGCCCTCGGGCCACATGCGGCTCACCGAGGACATTTATCCAGCCCACTGGGTGTTTTTGCCACCGCTGCCTGTCATGCTTAGCAGCTGACTCGTCCCGGGGCCGCAGTCCAGCCCTCCAATGGTCTGAGGGACAGTGAACTGGCCCCCTGTTTAAAAAGTTTGAGGACCCCTGCCGTAATCTCGATTATGTGTAGTACTTATGTAAGATCTGGATTTAAATAATAAGTACTATGATGATATTGGTTCATCATCAATTGTAGTAAATGTACCACACTAACTCCAGATATTCATAATAAAGGAAGCTGGCTCAGGACCTAAGCAGCTAAGGCAGCGACATACACCTGAGCTGGCAGGTTTGAATCCAGGCCGGGACTGCCAAACAATGACAGCTGCAACCAAAAATAAATAAATAAATAAATAAATAACCGGGTGTCATGAAGGTGCCTGTAGTCCCAGCAGGCAGGGACTCCCAGGGTCTCCCGAGGCAGGAGAATCGCTTGAGCCCAGGAGTTGGAGGTTGCTGAGAGCTGTGATGCCATGGCACTCTACCCAGGGTGACAGCTTGAGGCTCTGTCTCAAAATAATAATAATAATAATAATAAAGGAAGCTTTGTACAAAGAGAGCACAAAACTCTGTTTACTTTCCACTCAATTTTTCTATAAAGCCAAAACAACTCTAAAAAATAAAAATCTATTTATAATAACAAAATACAAATGTTTAGCTAACATCAGATCTAATTGTAAGAGACTGATTTTCTCCCCATAAAGTCGGGAACAAGGCATGTTGTCTGTGGTTACTTCTCTTCCTTCTCTTATACCAGAAGTCCTACCCAGGGCTGCAGGGCACGGGGGAAAAGGTCACTCACAATGTGAAGGAAAACAGTGTCCATTTACGGGGGAGGCAACTGCCCAAACCTCACAGTATGTGTGAAACACTCCCGGAACTGATTAAGTCAGTTCTGCAAACTTGTAGCATACAAGGTCAGCATACAAAGCTCCATGGTATTCCTACAATAGCATTTGAACTTCTAACGTCATTGTTGCTTAAGGGCCAGAGAGAAGAAAGTACTACGTGCTTTGCTAGTGTCTCTCCGCACAATGCCTTGTATAAAGTAGGCACCCAATGATGGCTGTGGCATCAGTTTTACCACTCCTTTAAGATGTCTGTGTCTTTCTGGAAGATAACCTCCTCAGGGAAAGAATCTGAATCTCTTTCATCCACATATCTCCAGACCTTGGCCTGGGCAGGTGGCTGGCATACAGTAGATGCTCAATAATTGTTTGATGAATTACTTAATTTAAAAAATGTGCAAGGCAAGGGACTCTGAAAGGATTCTAGACCATTTGTGTCTTTCAGGATAAGTAATACCTGCCAATTCCAAGGCAGATAAAAATTACAGTAGTCATGCGGTTGGGTGCGGTGGCTTATGCCTGTAATCCTAGCACTCTGGGAGGCCCCGGAGGGTGGATGGCCTGAGCTCACAGGTTCAAGACTAGCCTGAGCCAAAGCAAGACCTTGTTTCTAAAAACAGCCGGGTGTTGTGGCAGGTGCCTATAGTCCCAGCCACTTGAGAGGCTGAGGCAAGAGAACCGCTTGAATCCAAGAGTTTGAGGTTGCTGTGAGCTATGATGCCACAGCACTCTACGGGGGGGTGACAAAGTGATACTCTGTCTCAAAAAAAATTGCAGTAGGTATTTTGTTTTGTTTGTAAAGCAAAGTCTTTCCTTCGAAACGTGGGATAACACTTTCTACCTGTGCCATCAGTATTTAACCCAGCGGAAGTGGAGGGTTTGGAATCCCTACACCCCTCCCCACCAGGTTCAGGGGGATGGGAGCCTTTTTCTAGAACTAGGGAGGCAGCAAACCTGGACACAGTGGTGGCACCTAATGAGGAGCTACCAGGGTGGGGCAGGACAATTTTTAACCAGGTCCCCATGGCAGCAAAGGACGAGGACCACAGTGCAGTGGCTTTGGAATCAGACAGCTCTGGGTTTGAATCCCGACTCCGCCTCTTACTAGATGAGTGATGTCAGGTGATGTCTTCGCCTTTCCAGCCTCTGTTTAATCATCCATCAGTGGTCTTAATTATAACACATGCTTCAGAGAATTGTTGACTCGATGGAAGAAGGCAAACACGTTATTAGTATAACCTTCTGACGTGCTGGAGTCGGGGTCCTGCTCAGCGCCTCTGGGGGCATCTGCTGTGCTCAGAGCCCTGTCTGTGGAAGGACAGGAGGGGTTGGCCCTGGTGCGTCCCACTCACACAGAGTGAGAGGATGTAGATAAAAGAGACGTTACCGTAATGAGGACTTATTATTTCCCCAAGAATATCTGCCAGCTTTGTTCCTGTGCACAGAGAGAAAGCCAGATTTCATTAGTGTAAAAGATGAAGAAGAGATTAAAGGGAAGCTAAAATGCAGTCAGCTGCTGCCACAGCCCCAGCTGCTGGTATCATCATCCCCCTGGGCCTCTGGAAGGCCAGCGCTCTTTGCCAGGTCTGCACCAGGAGCTGGAGCCGGAAAGCTCCCTTGCCTGGAGTCCTCACAGAAAAGGCTTGCTGAGTCCCCAGGCTCCACCAGAGCCACCAGCTTCTCTGTGTAGCCAGAGCCCTTTGCCGTCTCTCCCAACCCTCTCACACCTGCCGGCCAGGTGTCCACACTGAGGTCACAGGCAGCCACACAGGGCTGACCAAGTTGGCCCCCTGCCTCCCTTTGCATTGTTGTTGATTGGGTTTTAATTGGCAATTCTTATCTGTAATGGAAGCTAATTGCACAGAGTCCCTGGAATTGTTTGCTGAGTAGAAAGAAAGAGACACAGCTGGGCTCTTTTAGGAGGAGTTAATTAAAGAGTCTGTAGACGCAGCAGATGGTACCGTACTGGTCGGCCTGACGGAGGAGCCTGCCGTGGTGGTGCTGCAGTTGCCAGAGAGGACGCTGCTCCCACCTGCCCATCATTTCTCTGCACACTTTGGGGATATGTTCCCAGGCTGAGGCCCACCTTAGGGTCTCTGTCTGACACCTGGTGCTGGGGGGAGGTTTGGGGAGGTGGCGCAGGACCTAGCAGCTGATGGAATGTCAAGCTGGGCAGTGAGAGCCAGGCAGAGAAAGAGCTGTGCCCAAGGCCAGGGGCCAGGCCCTCCTTCTTAGCCTGCTCAGACACAGCCCTGCCCCTTCCTGCAGCTGTGCAGTAAGGACAGTGGACTAGACCTATGCCTGGAAATTCCCAGGGTGCCTGTGGGGCCAGCACATTGGGTCCCTGGCCAGTGTGTTTGGAGCCTGCTGCGTGCAGGAATCTCAGTCATCTTGTCAACTCTACACATACCTGCAACCATATGCATTTCCCAGCTTTTCGGATGAGGACAGGGGGCTCATAGAGGGTAAATCACTTTGTCAAAGTCATGTCAAAATCACAAGCATCAGCTCCAGGTATGAACCTAACCCGGGGCCTTCATCATTGCAGGGGTGGTGCCTGAAGGAAGAGGAGAGATTGGGCAGTAACTCCAGACTCCCTCTCCTGGGCTCTCCTAAGCTGCACTCACATTCCTGTTAGGGTCCCACTCCCTCTTCGACCCAGATGAAGCACCTCCTGCCCACAGCCTTCCAAATCCCTTTGTTACTGGAGAAAGAAAAGAGGGTCCGGCCACCTGTCACTGTCCAGCCAATATGCACATCTGTTCTGCCTCTAGTTCTAATAACTTTTATAATGAAATACAAGGAAACCAGCCTAGAAAGCTATCAGATAGGGAGTGACACCAAAGCAGTCTCCAGTCTGGCAATGCCAAACGTTTAAACAACAGAAATGTGCTTTTCATTTGAACAAAGTAGCTTAAGAGAATTGTCAGAGAAAATACCATATTATCAAAGTAACCTTTCCTGTACCAATATCATAGCACCTACTGTGTCTATGTGCCGACCTCCTCAGAGTCTCCTGAGAGAAACATCCTCACAGTCATCGTGAAACCTTAACTAGATGATTGCGGGAGGTGTGTGACAGGACGTGAGCTGAGCAAAGGCCGTCAGCTGTACGGCCTCAGCCTCGTTTCTCAGACTCCGGCTTGCAGACTGCATCTCCTCACTTTCCCAGGATCTCGGGGACGGCTCCCTTTCCAGCCCCTCTACCTGCAGCCTGAGAACTTCCAGTGTCCGAATAGATGGTAACTTTGTGAACTGCGTCTGCCCTCGATGTCAGAGAACCTGTTCTAGTTTTCTGTGAGACAATTACTTGCACTCTATAGTTTGGTTTATCACATGGATTATATATACAGGGTGGACATAAAGTGTATGTGCAATTTAAAATAGTTTTTTTCTTTTGAGACAGAGCCTCAAGCTGTCCCCCTGGGTAGAGTGCTGTGGCATCCCAGCTCACAGCAACCTCCCACTTCTGGGCTCAAGCGAGTCTCCTGCCTCCACCTCCCAAGTAGCTGGTACTACAGGCGCCCTCCACAATGCCCAGCTATTTTTTTGTTGCAGCCGTCATTGTTGTTTGGCAGACCGGGCTGAATTCTGACCTGCCACCTTAGGTGTATGTGGCTGGCGCCTTAGCCACTTGAGCTACAGGTGTCGAGCCTAAAATAGTTTAATATAGCAAGTTGCACATGAACTTTATGTCCACCCTGTACACTGCCTGTGGTTTCTGAGATGGGCATTTTGTTAAATTCTGCACATGATGAAGCTGAGGCTGAGGGGAGTTGCCAGCTCTCCTGAGGTCACACTGCCACTGGGTGGCAGAGCTGGGATTTGAACCAGATCTGTCTGTCCCCCAAACCCATGACCTTCTAACTAGAACCTGGGGTCTCTTGAGTACTCCTGTAAGGATTTGCTGAGCAGTTGTGAGGTAAAGCTTATTCGGCCTCTGTTTGGGTCTTTTGCTCTGAAGGAGGCTGTGAGATGACTCTGTGCTCAGTAAGTTTTTTCCCCCTGTTGGGGGATATGGTGCACAAGGGATGAGCCCCAGATCAGGCCTCCTGAACTGCAAGAGGGGCGCAGATGCAGGGCAGCCCTCCCACCATCCTTGGGCTGTCTTTGGCCAATCACGTGACCTCTCTGGGTCCCAGATTTCCCACATGTAAAATGAGAGTGTTGATAAAATGAAATGTCAGCTCAGCTCATCTGTGATGCTATTTTCAGGGTCCTCTGAGCTCCTAGAAATTCCAGGAGGGGAAGATGATGATCAAGACGCTCCAGCTTCCTCACAGCTTAGAATCCAGGGGTCGGGGCCTCTCAGCCAACTGTGACCTCTGTTAGAGGCTCTGTGCTTCCCAGCTCCTGTGTCTGTGGTGGCTGTGTCTAGTCCAGCCATTAGTGCTAAGAGAAGACAGGAAATTGGTACCAACAAGTGAGGGGTGGTGGTGTAACAAATACCTAAAGACACCTAAAAATGTGGAAGCAGCATTGGAACTGAGACTGGAAGAGTTTCGAGGTATCTGTGCAAAAAGCCTAAATTGCTATGAACAAACTTGTAAAGGTAATTCTGGGGAAGGCTCAGAAAGCAAAGGAAAGCTACAGAGAAGAGAAAGCTCTGCCTTCATAGAGAACACCTGAGGAGTCAGGTGCCAGATGCTGATAGGCATGAGGACAATAAGGCCTTTTGGTGAGGTCTCAGATGGAAGTGAGCAGCATGTCCCTGGATAATGAAACAAGGCCATTCCTGTTAAAAGTGGCAAAGACCTTCACTTACCTGTGTCTGTGCTCTAGGATTTTATGGAAGGTAGAACTCACGAGTGATGAAACTGAATATTTAGTTGAAGACATTTCTAAGAGAAATGTTAAAGCAGCAACTTGGCTCCTCTTGACAGCTTACAGAGAGGTGGAAGAAGAGACAGGAGAGTCCATGAGTCCAAGAAGGAATTGTTAAGCAAAAAGAAACTAGAAGCTAAAGACTTGAAAAGTTCTCAAATCCTCCGTATTGCACCAGGTGAGAGAGCACATTCAGAAGAGAACATTAAGGGTGTGACCAAGGGACCCTTTGATAAGGAAGTTAGTAGAGAGGTGAAACAGAAACTTAATTATCCATCTCTAAAAGAATAAAAAAAGGAATAGAGATAAGATTATAGCCACAGAAACACTGCCAACTGGCACTTGGACAAAATAAAGGAAGACTGTCAGACTTAGGCACTACAGGAGTAGACCACAAACATATTCAGCTGCAAAAATGCTCTAGTGCACTATTGTAAGACAAAGAAGGACCCCAAGAGCTATTTGAAAAATCATCAGAGCTGCCACTCCCAACACAGGGTCATAGTGTATGTGCTGAGACCAATGCCCAGAGGATCCTGGGGGTGGGGACATCTCACAGCCCCAGACTGGGCAACACTCCATTGAATTGTGAGGATGACTCAAACAGGATTATTGTAGAGCCTTATGATCTGATGAGGTCTGGTTTGCTAGGTCTTGAGGTTGCTTGTGACTCTTCACCCTGCCCTTCTTTCCTGTTTGCTCAGAGCTCCCAGAGCCCTCACAGGGCTACTTCAGAGGCACCACCTGGGCATCAGAGTGCAAGGATTGAGGCCACAGAGGACCCATTCCTTGGTGAGGAGGCATAGTGGGCATGGGCTCTGGGGTCATGACTTCCAAGCACAGGTAGGTGACCTGTGTGGGCTTAGTCACCAAGCTTCATGTTCTGTCCACACAGCCACAGAAGGGTCACTGCACTGGAGCAAGAAGGTCACCTTACTTTAGGGAAGCTTAGCGTTATCCATACAGGCATTTTCTGCTGGTGTCCTGGGCTCAAGCCCCACTTCTGCCATCTGTGACCACGAGGCCTGGGACAAGTCACTGACATTCTCTTAATTTCTAAAATTCAGAAAAAGAGAAGAATGAACCTCTCAGGATAGTGGTGAGGAAGACACAAAATATTGTTGGGGAAACAGCACACCCTCTGCCCTCCTTCCTTGTACAGTGAAACCAGGGACAAGGAAGCATAGAACCCTTTTTGGATCAAGGCCATGTTATGAGGACACGTCTTTCAGGTGTAAACACTTAACAAAGCACAACAGGTCACTTCTGGTGGCCTTTCATGAAGCATGGACTCTGGCTGACTGCCAGTCCCTAAACACTGATTCCATTCCAGACTGGCCGACCTGGATCTGTGCCCTGTGGTCCTGGACAACACAGTAAGAGCCAGGATCAGCCAGTCCATGCTTTGCTCCCACCAGAGAGTGGTGAAGAGCTGCAGAGAGCTGGACCTGGGCTCCCATTACTGAGGAGGCCTCAGTGAGTCCAGCAGTGGGATCAGAATTGAGAAATTGACCCCT